TTGGAGGTAGAGCGTTATCGGACAAAGAAACTTCTACACCAATTGTAGATCTTTGTACAATTTCAAGCAAATTTGCTCCAGAATACTAAAGGTGGAGGATATGAGGAAAGCAAAAGAAGACATTATTAGAATCTTGTGCACGTTAGAGTTGATTTATCCTCCAACGTTTTTCGACATTATGATTCATTTAGTTTTGCGTTTACCTGATGAAGAGATTGCCGGAGGCCCGATATGTATGAGATGGATGTATCCATTCGAAAGGTATATGAAAAAACTAAAAAACTATGTCAGAAATAATGCGAGGCCGGAAGGTTGTATAGCTGAAGGTTATATTGCTAAAGAAGCTTTTTCATTTTGTTCGATGTACCTTCGAGATGTTAATCTCCTTGAAAGAAACGAAGACGTTTTCATTGAAAAAAACAAAATTTTGGATGTTTTGAGTCCAAGTGTCAACCGACGAGCGCAAGGCAAATCAAACATCTTGATATAAGGGAGAAACGTAATATGGAATGGTTTATATTGAATAGTTGTCAAGAAGTCAGACAATACATCGAGTAAGTGTTCTTACTTTTAATTATCTTTGATTATTTATTCTTACTTTCCATTCATCAATTATATATATATATATATATATATATATATATATATATATATATATATATATATATATATATATATATATATTCATCAATATAGAAAATTCAAATTTGAACATCTTGAAAGTGACGTAAAAACCGAATTTCCCAATTGGTTTCTTGAAAGGGTAATAATAATTAACAAAAAAATATCTTTGATAAATATATCTAATCAATAATACATAAAACATCAACATATGTTTAATAGGTTTATCAGATGGAAAAAGAAAACTCTCCAAAATTCAACAAAGTGTTGTAAGCCCTTTCAATGGGTTCACAAATGGATGTTTATACTTACACCACGTGCATAGTCAATGATGTTAGGTTTATGGTACTTAGTCGTGATGTACAATGCAAAATGCAAAACTCTGGGGTTCTAGCGATTGGTGAGAATGGAGAGAAATATTATGGCAAGTTAGAAGAGATTATGGAGGTTTAATATCCATATGATTATTCGACTGTAATATTTCGGTGCAAGTGGTTCGATACGGGAGATATTCTTGATGATAATTTCATAAGTATCGACACAGAAAAACAAGCGTACCAAGATGATCAACTCATATATGCTTCGCGAGCCAAACAAGTGTTCTACATCCACGAGCCTGTTAATCATCGAAGAAACCAAAACAACAACCCTCGTTGTGTCTTTGAGCATGTTAATCATCTAAATATTTGAGATCTACCATCCGATAATGCTCGTGTCCAAAATGCTTACAGTGACTTTGTCCAAGATGTCAACAATGTGGAGGCTGAAAATGTTGACATAGTTCAAAACAACTCTTCATCTGGAGCTAGACTTTTTATCGACTTCTCACAATACTTTAAAAACAATGTTGATGTAGCTCAAAACAATGTTGATTATCACAATGAAGACGGGACTTAAGTACCTCCGCCAACGTGTAGAATCGATAATGTTTCCGATGAAGAGACTGATTATGATGATGACGATTCTGATTATGATACTGATGAAGAAGACATTGAAGTATATGATGAAGATTCTGATTTAAAAAATCAAATGTTTTTTTTGTAATAAAAACTTTATTTGAAATGTACCTTTAATTGATATTGTTTGTCTAATTTTTATTTATGTTGTTTGTCTATATTGTATATCTTACCATTTCGTAGGGTAAATAACTTTTATTCATATTGTATTTATGTATTGTACATCTTGTAATTTATAAGCTACAGATGAGGTTTACTTGGACGATAGTCTTGACTATGATGGACGTTGTTATGGGGCTTGGACATGGAGGTGATGGATCCGGGGATCCACCACCTACAGTAGGTTTTGGTCGTGGTTAGCACGAACAGGATGGTGAGTTTTATTATGATATATTTATTAACTATTTTTATTATTTTATAATAAGTTATCGTGAATATATTTTTAATTATATTTTTTTAGCCGAGCTTCCAAAAAAAAGAAGGGGCATGTCAAAAAATATTGAGCTGGGAAAGATGATACGTGCACACAAGGGAAAGCCTGTAGATTTGGATTTCGACAGGGAGATTACATATTCCCCTATCGGGAAGCATGGTAATTGGTTCACACATGAAATTGGGAGGTATTTGTGGAACAACGACCCTATGAACGTATCTGGTTGGGACAATGTTTCCCCCGCCTTAAGGAACGTAATCATTGTGCATCTAAAGGTAACTTGGATACAATTTTAAGTTTAGTTGTGATTGTTATTTAATTAACTAAATTTTTTGTATTTTGCAGAATGAATTTGATTTGCATAAGGTTAACATGGATCAAGAGCGTGCTCAATTGTTGCGAAGCATTGATTCGACTCTTGCAAAAGTTTACAGAGGCCGGAAAAGTAAAGCTCATTCTTATTTTAAGGAAATCGTAGGGCCTGCAGATGTCCCATCCGCATTAAACAACCCCCCAAGGGTATGTCACATGAAAATTAGGCGAAGGCAGTCGAACATTTTCAAACGCCAGAATTTTTAAGGCGTTCGGTGTCAAACACAGAATGCCGTGCAAAACAAGTAGTTATAAATAGAGGGGGGTCGAGCTCATACATCAATGCATGTTTCAAAGAAGTAAATTATGATATATTTAAATATTTATTTAACGTATAAGTAATCTAGTTTTTAATGTTAAATAGGATATCAGTTGAATTGAAGCTTTTCATAAGGCAAATACCAATCGACAAGGGGTATTTTATAGCCCTACAGTTGAGCAACAATACATAAGTGGGTAATTTGTATTTTCATATAAGTGTTTATATCGTCAAGGGTATTTAGCAATCTAATTTATATGATTTTTATTATTTTTTTGAAAATACATAATGCTTTACTCCAAGAGATCAACCAACGAACCCAAGCTACTTCTAAAGCTAGTGGTCTAACACCCGTTAATATAAAAACTGTTTTGAAAGAATATTGGGTGTTCGACGTGGACATATCAGATACATTGGGCGTAAACCCCCAACCGTTGTGTACATGTATGATCAGGAACAACCAATGACACAAGAACAACTGCAATTACATGTAATTGTTAGTTTAAGTTGAAAAGTATAATGATATAATGGAAAATACAACATTATAATGGAAAGTAGAATGCTATAATGATATGTTGGTTATGATTTGATATGTTGATATTTTGTAGTTTGGTAATTTTTGGAAAGTAAATGCTATAATGGAAAATACAATATTATAATGGAAAGTAAATGCTATAATGGAAAGTAGAATGCTATAATGATATGGTTTGGAAAGTACAATGCTATAATGGAAAGTAGAATGGTATAATGATATGTTGGTTATGGGCTAATATGTTGATATTTTGTAGTTTGGTAATTTTTGGAAAGTACAATGCTATAATGGAAAGTACAATGGTATAATGATATGTTGGTTATGGTTTGATATATTGATATTTTGTAGTTTGGTAATTTTTGGAATGATATGTTGGTAACATATTTTGTTTTCTTTGTAGTTGGAAATGTTGCAAACAATACTAAAGGACTCGGCCTATTCTGCAGCATTGCAAGAGTAGTTTTGCTCATTGCCGCCACCAAATAATGAAGAAAATGATGATGACGACGAGTAGTTACTTTAGGATTTTATGAAATGTTTTGTAATTTGGAAGAATACTTTTGAATGTGGTATGGATTAATATTTTGGATTGGTTGTGTATGGATTAATATTTCTATAAAAAGTTATCAGATTTTATAATTTTTTTTTAAATTTAATGTAAAATAAATAAATAAAATAAAAATAAAAAAAAACCAAAATTGTTTTTGCGGCGATATCTTTTGTGGCGACGTACTCATATTAGCGGCGGCATATCAATAGCGGCGATGCGAATCATTAGCGGCGACTACATGTATATTAGCGGCGAAACATTACGGCGACCCATATGCAGCGACATGTAACTGTTAAAGGTATTAGCGGCGACACTCCGGGCCTTTAGTGACGACACACATTGCCGTTGTTGGCCAGTTTTCTTGTAGTGGAATATGAATGCCTAATAAAGATTCATGTTCCACCAGCATTAACGCATGAGAGTGATGAGACCATAGCCTTTACTATAATTGATTTACCACCTTCTGATACACAAGATACTCAACAATGACCACTGCGTCAAAAATGACTTTTGAGGGTAAAAGTAAAAAATAAAAAACAAAATTTACTAGTCGTTTCCTTAGATTTATGACTACATTTAAAGTGAAACATTTTAGAATATCAATGCCTAATAAACATATTCAACGTTCCACCAACATTAATCTAACACGCATGAGAGTGATGAAACTCTAGCCTTTATTATAGATTGAAAATATACCAACCAAAATTGAATGAATCTTCCTCTTAAAAGTTCAACAAAATGTTTTACTTTATTTTTATCAGGACAAAATAATTTCAATGTATGATCAAACTGACATATTTTATGACTGTTTCGTTGTTTTACCTTTAGTTCCCAACTATTGGTTCGGTGGTGAGAAACACAAATACTAGGTTGACGATCCAATGTTTTTACCATAGGGCAAAATATTTTCTTTGATTAGACTAGCAATAAATTACAAACTAAATGTATTTAAATAGTTATATTTAATTATTTATCACATATTGTAGCGTAAAACATTCTTCATAATGGGTTTTGCAATTATATATAATTTTCTAAAGTAACTTTTTTGGACCATATCAAGACCTAATAAACATTCAAGTTCCACTCAAATAATAAAATATGAAAAATGTTAGACAAATAAAATCCACGGATCATAGACACTTTATGCGATTTTTTTATCTAGTTAAGAATTGGACAATGTAAAAAGTTGAATATGTCGTAAGATGACAAGTTTGATAAAGTCATTCTTTATTTTTTTACTCTATCCACACATACGCTACCTTGATATGTTCCAATGTTTTTTACTATAAAAGCATCACCACGTTGCATGTTATTCACAAACTTCTCAAGCTAATTAACGAAGACATAAAAACACAAGTTTCTCCTTCTCAACAATGACATCTCATTTGCTTTTATTTGGTCTCTTGGTGGCGGGTTGCTCCGTTGCGTTTGCTTCGGACCCTAGTCCTCTTCAGGACTTCTGTGTGGCAGACGAAATAGACGAAAATAGCACAGGTAAGAATTTATGTCTAAAGGTCGAGAAACTCTCCAGCATTTTCATGCATAATTTGAAAACATATCATACTTAATTGTGATTAATAGTTTATTTATTTAATTTTTTTCACTCGTAGTATTTGTGAATGGCTTGGTTTGCAAAGAGGCAAGGTTTGTACAAGCTGATGATTTCTTTTATAGTGGGCTGCAACTAATGGGAAATACTTCGAATGCGGTTGGGTCAGCTGTGACTCCGGTGACTGTAGCAGAGTTGCCGGGACTTAACACTCTTGGTATCTCAATGGCACGTATTGACTTTGCCCCACAGGGTATTAACCCCCCACATACACACCCTCGGGCCACTGAAATTTTGACTGTTATGGAAGGTCGTATTCTAGTCGGGTTTGTCACGTCCAACCCTGAAAATCGACTCATCACAAAACTACTTCAGAAAGGCGATGTTTTCGTGTTCCCAGAAGGTCTAATTCACTTCCAGAAAAACGTGGGAAATGGCTATGCTGTTGCTATTGCTGCTTTGAGTAGTCAAAATCCAGGTGTTATTACCATTGCAAATGTTGTGTTTGGATCAAATCCCGATATCGCAGCAGATATTCTTGCAAAGGCTTTTCAAGTTGACGTCAACGTCGTCTATCAAATACAATCTAAATTCTAACTTTTATGTGATTGAAAAATGTTGTTTTCAGTGATTTAAACTCTTCAATCTTGTGATATTTTTTATTTTTATGTTACTATATTTAAAATTGAATAAAAAATATATATTTTATTGTATCCGTGATTTAGATGTAAATCTTATTTGGTATTAACAACTTCAAAACTATGATCTAATGTTAAATCCTTGCATTGTGCTAGCAATTGATAAATTACGAGACAAAATAAGATTAAATGGTCCCACGTGCTTTAAGAAAGTGAGAAGTTTAGTACTTATTTATTTAATTTTTTTTTTTTTTTCTGGATGAGTATGGTCCTTATGTTTCAATTACTTGCCTATCCGTCCATAATCCGCAACCTATGCAAATTGACTTTTGTCTCATTTTAAATAATGTTTTGCTTATTATAATTAAAAAAAATATAATAACTAAACCCTAACGCCATACCTGCTCCCATCCACCTTTCCTTACCCACCCCACCCACCCCACCCATTAGATTCCACTCCATTCTTCTAATCGCGAATATTACGTGATGAGCAATATAATCATAACCGGTATAATTATAGTTAGGGCTGTAAACGAACTTAACGTTCGGCGAACCGTTCGTGAACTGTTCGACGGGAAGTTCGTTTATGTCCGTTATTTAATAAATGAACGAACATGAAAAAAATTTATCGTTCGTTTAGTTGAATGAACGAACATGAACAATAGTCTCGTTTGTTCATTTATGTTCGTGAACGTTCGTTTACGATGTTCATTTACGTTCGTTTATTTTCGTTCGTTTAAGTTTATTTATATTCATCTATATTCAATTATTTTTTTATTATATTACTATATTATATGTTCGTTTATGTTCATATATGTTTAATTGTGTTTTTTTTTTTTATCTTTGTTCGTTTATGTTTGTTCGTTTATGTTCGTTTAGCATGTTCACGAACATGAACAAAGTAATTTGTTAAACGAACGAACATGAACAAGAAAATCTCGTTCGTTTATCCGTTCGTGTTCGTTTGTTGTTCGGCTAACTTAAACGAACGAACATGAACAAGACTTGTTCGTGTTCGTTTGGTTCGTTTACAGCCCTTATTATAGTGGTTGCTCATGTCACATAACTACGATGGAGGAACATCTTAGGGATTATCAGAAACTTGCGTGGATAGGAGTCGTAAAGTTTGGAAATAATAAAAAGCATTGATCAAAGGTTACATAACCATTACGAATGGTCAATTCACAATAAACCGTTTGCATATGTGGACGGGTTAAAACACAATCTCATCATTATTTCTCAACATGTTTTTGGAATTGGAAATAAAATTACTCTCGATGAGGAAGGAAGTATGGTCAACAATAAAATGACAAATAAGGTTTTGTTAAAGTCCAAACAAAAAGTGATATATATCCTTTGAATATCACTATGATCAAAGGTACTACTTCAATATGCCTTCTTTGAAAAGTAGTAAATGACATAAGTTGTTTGTAGCATTAGAGAATCTTTCACTTAAATTTCAAGAACATTAATTAGTTAGTTACACGAGATTTGGTGAGAGGATTACCAATTTTGATATTAACATCACGAAGTCATTTAATTACAATTGAGATTAACATCACGAAGCCACGTTAGCTGCTCCATGTTGAACATTATGGACTTCAAAAAAGGAAAATTATAGAGGAAAGAAGTATATCCTTGTTATTGCTGTTAATTTTTCAAGCTTCACATGGGTCTACTTTTTTTGTAAAAAATCCGAAACTTCACAAGATCTCATCAACACTATCAAAAAAATGGAATTGCATCTTTCAAAACCAGTCTGAAGTATACTCAATGATAATGGTTCAAAATTCAAAAATAAAAAATATCCTACTTAACTTATAGAGAAAGGAATCAGTTACAAATTTTCCGCTCCATACACTACAAAACAAAATATAGTTTTTGAAAGCATAAATTGATGTCTTTGTGAAGCTAACCCCTCAATGCTGAATTTTGAAATAAAATACCATTCTACTTGTGGATAGAAGACATCTCAACTACGGGCTTCATATATAACCGTTCTTTAGTTCATCAACATCACTCCTTATAAAGTACTTAGCAATCATAAACATAATGTCAAATTTTTCCTTGTGTGTGTTTGTAGGTGATTCATAATGAATTTCAAGAATAATCATTTATAATTCCAATCTAAATTCGATGAAGGCATATATCTTTCTTATTCACAAAATTAAAAAGGGGTATAAGGCAATGAAAAAAAAAGAACAAGGAAACCTAAAGTAACGTTCAATCTCACATTTGATGATCACTTTGTGAAGAAAATCGAAGCATACTTTCATCGATCCAAACTTTTCCATACCCTACCCATTTAAACCTTAATCTTAATACATTTTGATGTCGATATTAATTTATTCTGTGGAACTCTAGAGAAAGCAAAAACTTCAAAAGTTAATTCTTTGGACAATCATGTTGATAAAATGCACAATTTTTTTTAACTATAAAATCAAAAATTCACACCACTCCCAATGCTCCAATTCATGAAATAGACTCTTTTTATTTATTTAATCCAGAATCCACACCAATCCATGGGGAACACAGATCACCCAATGATATGGTTGAAGAGGAACATTCTACACCATCCGATGCTCCGGGGGGCGCAAACGAACCAAGTTATGATCAATTTTATGGAGAGAAGGATGGTTATATGAAAGGATATAATATTGAGCACGTGGATGACGCTCTCTTAGATTATGATAATATGTTTCCTCATCTAACTAAGTGGATAAAGGATAATCCACTTTCTCAAGTCATTGATAATCCATCACAAAGGGTGACGACTCATTCTCAACAAAAATAATATCAAGTTGTAAGGAACATTTATTGAAAATATTGCATGTTTCATGTGTTCTTGTCCAAAGTTGAATCAAGAATGTCAAAGTTGCTTTACAATATTCTGAATGGTTGAAGCTATCCAATTAGAATATCTGAGGTTAAAAGAAATTAAGTTTGGAGATTAATTCTTAAACCTCATGATGCATGTATCGTTGGTTTAAAGTGAGTTTTGCGAAATAAGGTTGACAAATAAGGGAATATTATCCAGAATAAAGAAAGATTGGTTGTCAAAGTATACTGTCAGGAAGAAGACATTCATTATGAGGAAACTTTTTTACCAATTGCATAATTAGGAGTTGTATGAATATTTATTATGTATGATGCTCACAAAAACTTTGATATTTATAAAATGGATGTAAGTATGCCTTTCTCAGCAGTGTACATAGAGAAACCTCCTGGGATTATGAATAAAAACTATCCCTATCGTTGTTATATTTTTGATAAAGTTGTTTATAGGTTAAAACATGCTCCATGTGCTTGGTACGAAACAATTAGTTTTTTTATTTTTATTTTTATTTATTTTTATTTTTTTATTTTTTCAAAATCTGAAAGTTCAAACAAGGCTCGGTAGATCCAACTTTTTTTTTTCCACAAAAGGTTGGCAATCAACAAATGTTGGTGACAATCTACATTGCTGACATACTTTTTGGTTTTATGAATATTTCTCTTACAATGAATTTGAACAATCATTGCAAATCAAGTTTGAAATGAGTATGAAAGGTAAAATAAATTTCATTTTAGGTTACGAATAAAGCAATTTTGTGAATTTTTTTTTTATAAATCAAGAATCTTATACCAAAAGTCTCTCGATAATATTTGGTATGATTTATTGTTCGGACGCAAAAATACTGATGGAATTTGTAACAAAATTAGGTCCGTGTAAGGGTAAACCACTCATGGAAATGCGCAATTATCATAGTATGATTGGTTCCTTACTTTATCATACCGCAAGTAAGCCTGATATTCATTGTTTTTTTAATATGTTAGGTTTTAAGCTAATCCGAGAGAACCTAATTTGCAAGCATTATAGAACATTTCTTGATAACTACACAAGACTCAAACTCAGGGTTTATCGAATCTAGCCAAAACTAGATTTTAGATTCAAGCGTATTTAGATATAGATCTGGGTGGATCTCATATTACATGGAAAAGAGCTTCGGGCTTATAGCAATTTTTTGATGGCAAATTGATCAACTAGAAATCCAAAAAGAAAACAAGTGTATCAATATTAAGGTTCACCACAATGCCTGGAATGAAGCCATATCCATAATTTGGCAATTGGAGATGAGGATCTCTTTAATCATCTTCCTTCATGGAGTTTTTTTTACAATAAAGCTTCCGGATGAGCAATTGGACATGCCTATCACACCAAGGGCTTTCACTTTTCATTTATTTTGTACAAAGGATATTACTAGGATCGAATCCCCAATAACAATCTTTTGATAAGATTATGTCATGAATGGAAAACCACAAGTGGATGTGTAGACGCTTGAAGGAAATACATAATTGGTTTCCATAAACCAATAGAAATGTATAAGAACATAATTTAAGATTATGAATTTTATGTGTTGTGAATGGGTGTTCAAATTTATAATTTCAATGTGGTGTACTTTCCCCTTATCATTTCTCTTATTTGATAGTCTTGTTAAAAAGTTTGTTGATAACAAAAATTGCTGATTAACTATATCAAGCAGTTTATGGTAGTATATTTCAATGCAATTGGAAAGATTAACTATGATGTGTGAAAGTGTTTGAAACTCGAGGAGTTACATCCCAAAGGTAGTCTTGATAATCAATAAAGGTATGTTGATGGACAAATTATTTAAACACTTGACCGAGGAGTTCTCTACGGTATGCAAAATTCTCATAATTGAATTTTAAAACGACTTTCTGGAATAATTCACGTGGAACATTTTTCTAGTTCAACAATTGAGAGTATACTATGGAGAATCCACATTCCTATAGTTATTTATGTTGAGGAAATAATGATGGAACAAAAGTTTGCTCCTGGCAGTTGGCAGTTAGTACAATGCTTTTCTTTTGGTGATTGGCAGTTTGGATTTTACCTTACAAGCCTATGTGAAGATTGAACCACAAAGGGAAGATTGTTAGGGTTATTTTTGTTTTTATAAGTTTCTTGTCTGTATATTATCAATACGTAGGTTTTTGCTTTTGTATCTGAGACTTGTTGTTTCTAGATTCTAGGAC